ACATGTTCTATATTTGAAATGTTTAGTTGTACCAAATGAATGTATTTGTTGTTGGTGCATTTAAGAAGCTCCAATCCGTGTCTGTAAACTTTACGTGTGCCACATGACTGCAGAGTTCTCTCACCAGACCATCAGGAACCACAACAGTGCTGCAGCGCACGCACCTCAAGGAAAGACAGGAAAAGAGATGAGAGATTGTTTTTCATGTTTCTGCACTCTTGTTCTTTTATACGGTGAATATATGTTTGTATGTTTTTTTTTTTTTACCATGAATTATGTTAAAAATGGTTGATTTATTGTATCTTTGATGTCAAATGTGAAGCACAAATAAGTTACTGTTGTCAATATTGTCAGTTTCACTTACTGCCTTGCAAAAAGGGAAATAAAACAGAGCTTTTTATTTTTTAATGGAGCTACTACGTGTGATGTAATAAAGCAGGTATCGTAGTGTTGATACCTCCTGTGATCTTTGGTACAGCTTGCCTGTGCACTGAAACAGTAATAAAAATAAGTTTCCCTCTTGCTATAATTGTCTGTTCCTTGTTTTTGTTGCACCGCCTCTAGTCTTATCCGAGATGCATGTGAGTGTGGGTGGGTCTGCTGTGAGAGTAGAGTTTCATCATCGCTGCCTACTACGTCAAATGCTGTTTAACCAAAAGTGAAAGAGAGCTGAGGAAATGCCCATAAGCCACGTCACACAGTGACCTGCTGTTGTGACGGAGCAGGTAGAGCAGGCTGCAGGCTGAAGTCCCCCACAGCCAGTTACCTAACGTTGATTTAACCCCCCTTCATATGTCTCTCTCTTCGCTTTGGTTATGATCTGATGTTTAAGACCTTTAATTGCATTTTTAGATCAGAGAAAGATAGCATGAATAGGTTCACAATCATGTTCTAAAATGGCAGAAAAGCTGTAACTATGATTCCTTAACCACACTGTGGAGAAAATGTGTAATTTCTTAAGTTTAAACTCGATTGAGGGGCTTTAAAGCGTGAACCACCTGTGTGAGTCAATGATTTTATTCCGCCTCTGATATTTATTCTATTATTTTCAGATGTGGCCCTCGCCTTTCCACGCAGAGTTTCTATAAATCCCCGGAACAGTGTGGATGGCTATGAAGATCCTAAAAACCATCAATCAGTCGAATAAATGACTCTTTTCCCAACATCTCTACTCATAAAAACCTGTTGGGTTAATCAATCTAAAGGATCATACAGGCCAGTTTCTGAAACCCCTGCTGTCAACCTGGGACTGCATTACATCCAATATTCCCTTGACACTGCGGGCACTTGGAGTGGAGGATCCTGTTTGATGACTTTAGCTCGGCTTTGAACGTCATCCAGCCAACCGTCATTGGGTCAAACACTTCCTGACTAACAGACGTCACAGGGTGACGAATCTCGACATCGCTTCCAGCACCTGGATTGTGCCAGATGAGATGTTGAAATTGTTATCAATTTCAACATCTCAACCGGCAACTGGAATGTGCCGGATGAGATGTTGAAATTGTTATCAATTTCCTCCCTTTCATCCTCAATTACTTTACTCTTCTTTAATTATCCTGCAATGAACTCCTCCTTGTGCGCTGTCCCGTTATGTGGATACTTTGAATTATCCTGTCTCTGAAATGTGCTAAAAAATAAAAAATATAAAGTTAAAAAAATATCCACTGGACTTGG